TAGTGTTTCTGTACACTTTTTAACTTTTATGGATATATTTGCTAGACAGTTTAAGTTTTTTGATTTTCCTCTCTTATTTAGAACAGACACAACTTTTTTAAAACTACTATGATGACATACATAATCTTTTCTGAAAATCAATACAAATATATTATGTTAAATTGTTATATATATATTAAATTTACCTACATATTCAACTTACTTGCAAACAAAACGTTGTAACCGATACCAATAAGTCGACAAAGAGGTAACAGGTTTGAGGTTAATGGTAGGATGAGCAGCAACAAATGAAAATTGAATTACAATTTTATACAAAAAATTATGTAAAAAAAATTCACAACAACAATAAAAATCACATTAACTTGTACTGTTAAAAGTACTTAAACGATTATATATACATATAACAACTTAATGACTCATTACTTATGTTTATTACTTGATAACCATACATTATGCAAATTAACAATCAACAATTACTAATTAGGACAAATAGTAATAACACAAATAGTATAAGAAAATCAAATCAGACACACAATGTTACATTGTAACAAATACTTTGCCTACCAACATAATTAACTTGCTTATTAAAAAAAATTGGTCTTCCCTTTTGGTATATTAAATAACCTAACTTAAAGACCTAACTAAAAAGAAAAATCACAAAAAATAACAGTGGAATGAGTGTTTTCCAGGAAGCAAGTCTAAGTTTATGGGGAATCCAATACCTATATCATAATGGAATCAAATGTTAATAGTGTAATTTGTTTTTATATTTATATTTTATGAGCATATTATTTTCTTGAGTTTGTGAAATAAAAATTGCTTTGCAGTTACCAAACAATAATCTGTAATTTTGATTGAAAATTAATAATCATTACTAAACAATTATAAATATGTGGTAGTTGTCAAATGTTGATGTGGAGGGCTGGGCCAATTACAAATTATTATATTATTATTTATTACTTATTCACAATCCAACAATCAAGGATAAATAGGTAAGTACTAGGTAGTATTAGAAAATCAAATTTGACATAAAACGTTACATCATGTTATATTTTACCAATATCCACTTACTTGTAGACAAAACGTTGTCCTTCCCTTTTAGTATTTCTAACCACCCAACTTGTTTTTGTTTTTTCTGAAAACTCGTCTACCCATTCTTGGCAGGAATTAAAATCTTTTATATTAGATCGAATCTCATATTCCTCATTTTTGCAGCTTACAATTTCATTAATAAATGACGTAGGAAGATGTTTGTAATTAATCATTTTAATTACCTAATATGTTATACAATTAATAATATATTATGCAAGAAAGAAACTTAAAAGTTAAAAACTATTATTGCAAGTTTTTGTTGTATTTTGTTGATAACAGATATATAACTATGTGATAACTATTAGCGCGGGAAAACAAGTCGATTTGAACCGACCAATGAGAATTATGCTGGTGCCGAAATCATGTACGTTTTGTTAATATGCGGACGGGCCGCCGTCGCGGTCCGCGCCGGTACAGCGGGCTCGAGGCGCAGTGTGACCAATCTAGGGCACACAGTGCCTCGGCCCTTACAATACATAGTTTAAAAAATTACTGGGTGCTATCAATATTATTATTCGATTCGGGTAAAAAGTGTTCGGGAAAAAAGATTTAGGGTATACTGACTTTCGGAATAAAATAAATACCATGCGGGAAAAAGTTTATTCGGGAATTTAGATTCAGGAAAAAGGGGTTCGGGAAAAAAAGTTTTGGGTTTTTGGGTTTTCGGACAAAATACGATTCGGGAAAAAGTTCATTCGGGAATTATGATTCGGGAAAAATACCGGTAACCCAATTTACATGCATATTTATATTAACATTTTATATACATTATTATATTATTGATTTTAGATTATATGGTACATTAGGTAACTTATGGTAACTAGTATAAAGTAGAGTCAAATATAAATTATGTAAAACCTTATATCGTTGATCAATACTTGTGGCTTATGGGGGTCATTTCTGTCATTGTATTGTATAATTACTGGTCATTGTAGTTTATTTATTATTACTCATATGAAATTCATTCGTGCCTTAAATGTACTATTTTTTTCAACTTTTTCTTTATTGGAAGTTTGTCATTCATTTTCCTGGTTTCATGAAATAACCTTATTTGAATGTATTTCTGTATGATATTATCAATTAGTATAATGTTATGTCAGCTTATTTGACTACAACTTAAATTTTCAAATAAATTATATTCAGTTAGAATGTGTTTGACTTGATTCATCGTTAATTTAAATTTTTGTCTCGTTTTTAATATACATAAGGTGTGATTTTGTCTGAATATATCTTCTGTAACCTTACATATTGTGACCACTATAAATCTGTAAATCTGTGTTTGGTTTTTTTAGATGGCCTCTATCTTTGATAATTGCTAAACTATTACAATGGTAGTTGCCCTGCAACTTCATTATACAAGACCCACAATTCAATTTTTTTTTTTTTTTTTTTTGAAGACTTCGGAGCACAACCCCTGCAATGTATGAATTAACATCTTTAACATATAGAGTCATTGTATTTAAATTGGTTAACTTTGCATTATCTATGTTTGTAATGTTTTCTTTTAATTGATTATCTTCATTTATGATTTCCACAGCTGAAGGGTTTTTCATAGTATTGTCCTGAGCTTGACAATTACCGTACATAGAACTACATATTTGGTTGTGAACTAATAGACTTTTGTATGCTGTTTGGAACTGATGACAAGTTGGATTGTCACTATAACCACATCTGCCCCGAATGACACTAAAAAAAGTTTCAAGGTGGTCTTGACTTAGCTTGTAAGTTAGTAAATAAGACATATCACCCTTTTCATTTAAAATTGTATAATAATCCAAAGCATTTTATATGGCTAAAATCCTTCCGATAAAACCTGTTTTGCGTTGAGAACAAATTACTTTTGTACCATCTTCAAAAGTAAGTGCTTCAACATACGTAGAAAAATTGTTCAAAAAGTCTTTATATTTTTGGTATGTGATTTGACTTATGGAACTATTATACGGTTTATTTGATAAATGTTTTCTTGAATTTAAAATGTCAAAAGCATTGTTAAAAATTTTACAAAACTCTGCAGTAGCTAAACATCCTTGAAAATTAGGATCTGTGCCGTTTAAATATAATAACGCATCACATACCTACACTATCACTTAAAACTTGTGCTGCTAGACGGACATTCATTTTTTCATTAAAATAATTAATGTGTCGATTAGTTAGTTTTGTTGCTACCCTTAATCCTTCTGAATTTTCTTTGTTATAAAGTTGTTTAACGAAATCCCATTTTATTTTTTGACCATTACCATTGGTGATAACTTTTTTGTCTCCAAAAGCATACCTTATAAGTTTGATCATGTGTGACGGATCATAAAAACTAAAAACTTCTTCATTAGGTATTTGAATTTAAAATATATGGACTATTATTGTTTTCCAAATCAAATTTTGCTCCGAGAGAAGTGCACATAGTGGTGTTCACATTTGCTCCATCGTATGTTACTGAATTTAAGTTTGCTCCAGTTTCACTAATTAAGTCTATAGCTGTTTTCAACAAATTACTTCGCTCTTTACCACTCAGAGAATTAATAAGAAAATATCCAATAGGTAATTTCCAGTAGCCATTTATTCCGACAACAAGAAACACTCAAGCATTTCTTGCTTCTGGAATTTCGTCATTGTCTAGCTCATAGTCTGTGCCCATATTCACATAGCCATAAACATTTTGACAAGTGTCAATTTCTACATGTTTTTTTATGCATATTTCATCAAAAGTTAAATTACAAAACACTGGTCCTCGTTTTGATTTAATACTAATAGCATCTAATGATTTTTGTGTAAAACCCGGCTTTCCATCAACTACTGTGTACCAACGACGCAGTGTTCAGGTATGTGGTAGAACATTTGAAAAGGAATTGCTCACAAAATCATATGCCTTGGGTGAATAGTAATGAAGAGTTAATGCAAACCTCCTAATTTCATTACTATATAATTTCTTACTCTCCAAATTGTTGGCTATTAAACTGTTTAAAACATCTGAACCCAAAGCCTAGGAAAAATAATTATATAAAATAAATAATAATAATATTATTCGTATTTGCCGTTAACACTCGACCAACCACCATAATCAATTAAATATGACTGTAACAATTATAGTTTAGATTACATTTAAATCCAAGGCCTAAGCAGGGCTGCCACTGGCTGACTATTTTCACTATCTTAGACTTTTTTTAGAAATTCACTATTTATTTACTTTTTTACAAGTATCTGTACTATTTTCACCTTTTCGATGGTTCTAACCATAATATTTATATCACATATTCACATAATGGAATTTTGATATTTTTTATTCAAACTTAAGAATTAAAAAAAAAATTAAATTGCTTTGTTAAATTAAATAAATAAAAATATTGATAACATAAATACTAAATAGTAATATAGTATAATATCCCTCGACTTGCAAGGGCTATGCAATCCCAATGTTTTGAGGTAGTTGTCGCCATTTGCCTCAACGGCAATGTTTACATTTTATCGTAATATTTAAAATATATAATAGTCAAAGATATCTATGTATATAATATGTATTTATCATTGTTTGTTATCGTATAAAAGTGTAAACATTGCATAGAGCAGCATTGTAGACTGAGTGGGAACGTGACTTCAATAACAAATTATAGTCAGCTATCATAATAATTTTATGTTGGCAATAGATTTTATGCTTATCTTATTATCTTTATCGTTTTTCGGATAACTAACTGCTTGTTTATATTATATCAGATTAGGTTTTATAAATCTATTTATGGATACTAAACAGTATATTACTTACACTGCCTATAATAGTACCCCATTCATCAATCCAGTGTTAAATATTCGATCAACAGTCAGTCATATTTTACTATTTAGTTTCGTGTTTTCGTCACAATTCGCAGAGTTTATTAATTAATTATTTAAAAATATAACTAAAAGTGAATGAATAAATAATGAATAAAACCAAAGTGCAATTCAATTATTCTTGGCTTGATAGAACTGATAGTTTAGGTTTCAAGATATCAAAATGGGCAAGCAAAAGTAGTGATTCAGAAATATTTTGTAAAGTATGTGTGAACACCATAAAAATTGATAAAAAAGGATTCCAAGCCATTGTTCAACACGTTTCAACTAAAATACATAAAAGTAATTGTAGTTTAAAACTAGGTAGTAACCAGCTACATTTGTCTTCTTTGCCAGTCTCGGAATTTGAATCAAATGTGTCAACGAAAACGTTGATATTAGATACTTTTTGTGCTAAAGACCTATCAACTAAAGCAGAACTAATTTGGTCAATGAAAACAGTTCTGTGTAACTATTCTGCTGCTTCGTGCAATGATTTATTTGATGTTTTCAAAGCAATGTTTGGCGATGGAGTTCCTTCATGTTTCTCACTTGGTCGTACAAAATTATCATATATAATTACAGAAGCTTTAGGACCATATCTCAGAAATATACTACTTGAAGAATGTAACAAAGTTTATTATACCCTCATTTATGATGAAACAACAAATGTTGAAGGAAAAAAAGAACTACAAATTGCATTGCGTTATTGGAGTGATCAAGAAAATGAAATAGTTACTTGTCATTTAGAAACATTTTTTATTCAATCTGCAACTGGTGAAAAATTGGAAGAATATATAATGCAGTCTTTACACAACTCTAATATGTCACATTTGAAAATGCTCATGCTTGGAAGTGACGGACCCAAATGTCAATAAAAAAGTATTTCGACTAATCAATGAAAATATTTTAAGTAGCAGAGGCTGTGGACTAATCGATATGGGCACATGTAATATACATATTATGCATAATGCTTTCTTAAAGGGATTAGATGTGATTAGAATGTCTGTTTCTGAATTTATTGTTAATGTGTACTATTTTTTCAACGGATGGCCTAAACGCTGTGAAGAATTTACAAATATTCAAATAAAACTTGCAGTTACTCAACACAAATTTATTAAACATTGTTCTTCAAGATGGCTGACTTTAGGTAAAGCAGCTTTAAGAATTATTGAACAATGGGATTGTCTCATTGAGTATTTTACCATTTTTATTCCTAAGAAATGTTCCAATCTCATGACTGCCTCAAAGTATCAAGGTATTGTTAAGCAATTAAGAAATTCTTTGTTTAAAGCTGAAATATATTTTGTAATTAATAGTGCTTCAATATATGAAAATTTCAGTATTTTATTTCAAAGACAAGAACCTTTGATTCATGTGTTACATGATGAACTTAAAAAGCTAATTCTCATTATTTCTGGACGTATATGCAAACAAAATGTTTTAATTAAATGGTCTGGTGATGAATCTGTGTTTGATAGTAACAATTTGTTGACAATACCTCAACTGCCTTCAGAAGTTTCAGATTTATTAAATAATAGTAATACCAAAGAAATTGAAAAAAAAATATTCATAGAAAATGTCAAAAAGCATTATATAAATGGAGCTCTACATATTTTGAATAAAAGTTCTTATGGTGTTTCACCAAAAATTAAGTATTTCAGATGTTTACAGCCACCGGAATTAAAAAAGAACGAAGTTGCTATGATATTGGCAAAGTGGCTCATTTTCTTCCTGTGAAGGTAGATATAACCATGTTATCTGACGAATGGAAACTTTTAAGATTAGAAAATCTTACATATGTTAGTGGACAAAGAATTGATCATTTTTGGAGACAAGTATTTAATATGAAAAATTCTATGGATGGACCAAAATTTCCTTTAATAACTACTATTGTAAAATGTGCTTTGTCTTTATCTCATGGAAGCGCAGATGTAGAAAGAGGGGTTTCAATTTCTGGTAAAGTATTAACAGAAGACAAATCTGCTATGTCATGTAAGATGTTGAATGCACGTCTTTACATCAAAGATGGTTTGCTTAGATTTAAAAATAAACCAGATTTTTGTTCCAATTACAAAAGATTTAATATGTTCTGCTAGAAATGCTCACCAGAAATATCTATTGTACCTTGAAGAACAAAAACAAATAGAATCTACAAAGAATAAAAAAAAGAACAAGAAAAAGAAGAAGTTGAGAAAAAACTAAGAGAACAAGAAGACGTTTTGAAGAAAGAAGAGATATTTTTGATCTTGAACAGCAATTGAAAAATGATAAGGTAACAGTTCAAAGTAAAAAAAGCATCAGATAAATTTTTAAAAGAAGCTAATGAAAGACTGAAGAACGCTCTTCAGAAAGGAGATCTAGTTGAGGTACAAATCGCTCAAAGTATGTTAGAAGCCGCAAATAATCTGAGAATTGAAGAACGTGATAATGAAATAAAAACTGTTAAAATCCAAAATAATATAAATAAGAGAAAATCAAAAATAATAAATGAGTACATCACAAAACAAACAAAGTTAATTTAATATATTATATTATGTGATTTTTTTTTTTTCTAATTTCTTTGTCAATTGTTTGATTAATACATTTATTTTATGTTATTTTTATACAGAATTACACAAGATCTGTGTAAACAATACTTTTTTTTGGTTGAATATTTAAGAAGAGGACGTTATGATTTTTTTTAAGATTTGTTTTTATACTTAGTATAAATAAATGTTTTTATTAACATTGTTTACCTACCTATTTATTTTTCAATATTTTAACTATAAAAACTACATATTCAACATATACCTTATGTATGCTAGTTGATTTAATATGTATTTTTTGTTTGTTATGAATTTTAAGGTATTTATTTTATGTTGATGTTCGTAAAATTCTGTTTTACATGTCAGACTATTTTTTCACTATATCCTTCTTGTATTCCTACTATTTTTACTTTTTTTGAACGAAATGTGAGTGGCAGCCCTGCGGCTAAGTAAAAAACAAAAAATATATATTGCGTATTTGCAGTTATCGCTCTCAGCCAACCACCAAAATTGTTGCATACTTTCTTATTCTTCAAACTGTTTTCCCGTGTTTTTAAAATATCCAAAACCAAAGATTAAATAAAACAGTTTATTTATTAAAAAATAATAATTTTTTTGGGTATTCCAAGACAATACTATGATACACACACACTCAACTATACTCTATTCAGAATAACCTTGCCCACCCGATCGACGAAAACTCGTCGAGTTCGCGCATGTCTGTTGCCACCGTCGGCGCTGATGTAAACGTACGGGTAGCGTAAGGGTTACCAACCACAGGGAAATTTCCCTAGATTTGGGGAAATTGAGTACTGTTCAGGGAAAAAGGGAAATTTTAATGAAAAACCAAGATATCTAGGGAAATTTTTGGATTATCATGTTTGATACTTGGATAGTTAGATAAAAACCACGGACTAAGCTGATATATCTTAGTCCGTGATAAAAACTAAAAGAACATTTCTATAAAAAATCGTGTGATACATGATGTGATACTGTGATTAGTAAAATGCTCCCTTATCAGTTATCACAGTACCATTATCACGGTTACAAAGTTTAATACCATTTCTATGGTTAAATTAATACGTTATAAGTAACCGCCAAATCAAATTTAAACATTAAATCATTTGAAAAATATACATTATTTAATATTTTTGTAAATGTTATTATGTTAAGAATATTGTATTTAAATAATTATTCAATTATTAATCTATAGCAATAATAATCTAAGAGGAAAATTGTAAATCTGTTACTGGTACAATGCAGTAACTAGTAAGCACACTAAATTATGATTTACTATTTAATTTTATTGTATAAATGTTCTTGTATTCTATATATATCATATTACATATAATTTATATGAAAGAAATATATTTATTTCATTTTTCCTATTATTACCTAAAATTGTTATGTACTGTATTGTCTGGATTGACATACACACAGCATTTATCTATACAGGTAAAACCCTTTACAACTGTTATCTGTATTACTTTTTATTTCCTGTGGAAACTTTCATACCTATTAATGTAACATTTTCTATATGAACACTTAGTTGCTTGTCTGAATATTGATACTGGTCTTTAAATATTTTAGCACATTTTATAATTTATATTTTAAACACCAGTATGTCTACTTCACCAACTAAACAACAAATAAAAAAACCCTATTACCGACAAAAGTATAATGCTTCCTGGGAAAATGACGAACAATTTAAAGGATTGTTAGCAAGAAGTAAAAAAGGTATGAATCTTATTTAATTTACTTTTTCATTTTTGTTTGAATATTTCTGAAAACAATAATTAATTGTTTGTTTAATAGGTCTGTACTTTTTCCATTGTACATCATGTCAATTTGATGGAACTGCGGGTAAATCCGAAATTGAAAAACACGCCAAGGGACAAAAACACTTAAAACTGGTGGAAGGATGTAAAAGTCAACAAACCATAACTGAACTTCTCAACAATTCTGTTCATGCAAAACTTGAAAATACTGTAAATATAATAATTTTAATATTAATGTAATGTAATAATAATAATTAATATGACTTTCAGGTTAAACATAGTGAAATGCATTTGGCAGCATTTATTGCCGAACATAATTGAGGGGTTTCAATTCAAAACGTACTTTTACCATTTTTGACAAAATCGAGTTAGATATTGATTCTAGTAGAAATAATGGCGGGAAATCGAATGGTGAGGTCAGTTTTTGGCTAACCTCACTTATTCCCTATGAAATAGTCGATCAAAAATCGCCTTTTCTGCAAAACGTTCCTTTTCCAGGTGTACTTTTAAATCAAAATGAACTATTTCCAATTTCCTGCAAAATGCACTTTTTCCTCATATGTTAGCATAGGAGAAACAAATGGTTCATAGCAAAATGTGCCATTTCCTTAATTTCTGAGCAAAACGTACTTTTTCCATTTCTTATCAAAAAGTACTTTTTCCTTTGCAATTGTAATACAAATTTAATATTTTGACTATAATTTTTTTCCAAAACGCACTTATTTTATATTATCATAACCTCATTAACAAAAAAAAAGTTATTATATTTTTAATAATTAAAATATAAATTTGTACTCAGGGAAATGAAATTATATTTATTTATATTTATTTTATATTCAAAAAAATATTTACATATCGTTCCTAACTTCAATAGAACCATAGAAATCATAGATGACAAGATACGTTTTGGAGCGAAATCGTGCTAGCCTACTTATCTCTATTGTTATTCATGATAAAATCATTAAAATATAAAAAAAATGTGTGAACTTTTTTAATTTACCTTAAAATAAAAAGTTTTGTACCTATTAGTAATTTATTATATTGTAAATTAACTATATTATTATGAAAAGAGCACGGGCCATAAAATTATTGGAGGCAGCAAAATCAGTAAGTTGCTTTTATCTACCTAGCTCAACATATTATTATAATTTTTTTTTTTAATAAAGTACTTAAAGGTTTTTGTTTGTTATGTTAGGGACTACAGCCTAAAAGATTATTCAGCTATGACGGATCTATTAAAGGAAACCTCTCTAATGACCATGCTGATAAAGGAGAGCATACCATAACAAAGGTTGTTCATCCAAGTAATGTATGTTATATTTTGTGAATAATATTATAAAGACATATTTTTTAAGTAAATCACTAAGTTATACAAAACTGTTGTTAGTCATTTGTTATAAACTATTTATTTTATAAAAAACTACCATCAACATACATAATGCATAATCTTATATCATGTTATCATATAATGTTAGGTTAAAAATAATAAATTAGGTAGGTAGGCAGTTAGATATGTTATCATAATAAGGTACCTACCTACCTACCTAATTTATTATTTTTAGCATAAAATGTCCATTCTTATCAATTTAATTTATTTAGGATAAAGTATACACTTGGTTACAGTCAGTTGATTTCAACAGTTTACCAGAAGAAAATATTTCTGATGTCCATGTTAATACAACAGAGGTTGTTTATCCAAATAATGTGAGTTGTTCTTGGATATAATAAAGTCATAGTATTTAAGTACATTTTACTATTCTGCAAAACTGTTGTTTTATCAAATATATATATTTTGTGTTATAAAAAGTAAATTAAGATTAGCTACTCATCTAACAATATATTTTTAAAGAGTGTTAAAATATAAAAGTAAACCTATTTTATCACATAACTAAATAGGATATTATATTGATGCTGACAGATTTTTTTCATTTATTTGTTTTTTATTCTTCATAATTTATTATTAATAATTCTATATTTTGTTTCTAAAGGATTTACTGGATATTGATTCTATGGAAATGATTATTATTGACAATGATGTACTTCCTTTTCATTCCAATGAAGTAGTTTTTCCTCCTAGTAATGATGAGTCAATAACACCAATTAGTACCAATGAAACAGAAGTAATGATTCCACCTACTTATAACGAATCCACAATATTAAATGTTGACAGTTTATTATGTAATGACCCTGAATGCACAGAAAATATCGAAGTTACTGAAGGGGGCAGAAGAGCTAAGAAACTTAATAAAAGGAAAATTTCACAAAAGGAAAAAAATAAACTACATTCAACTTTCACTATAGATTGTAACCACAAGAATATTAGTAAACCTTTTTGTAAAATTTCAGAAATTAATTATCGCTGTATTGAACTTTTTAAAACAAACTTGTGTAATTTAGAGTCAAAAATTGATCAAGATAACTTTTTGATTTCAATGATGTTTATAAATAAACCTTTGAGAACTGATCGTCGCAAAACTCAGTCTACAAAAGAAAGAAACTCTGTTAAATACTTTATACCTACTGTTGATGGAAAAATACCTGTATGTGCTGAAGTTTTTAAATCTATTACACTAATTTCTAGAAGGCGCTTAAACCTCCTTGTAGAACATTTTATACATAACTTAGCTAGTCCAAAAGAAAGACGTGGAGGAAATCGTTCAAATCATGAAGATGAAGATATTGCACTATCAATTACTGAACATATTCAAAAATATAAAGCAAAAAAAAGTCATTACTCAAGAGCTGACACAGGGCGTTATTACCTTCAGCCTGGCTTGAGTATAAAATTAATGTATAATCATTGGAAAAATGAAATGATAAATAATAATAAGAAAACTGCATCATACAGCAAATATTATTTTATATTTACCAACAAATTTAATCTTGGATTTGGACATCCACGCCAAGACATTTGTAGTTACTGTGTTGAACAAGAAAATCAAATTCAAAATTCAAAAGATGAAACAATCCTAGGCAACCTTAAAGAAAATTTAAGCAATCATAAACAAACAAGTAAGAAATTCCATAAACTTATGAAAGAAACCAATGATAAATCTTTAAATATATCGTTTGACATGATGCAAAACCAGCCCCTGCCAAAAGTGAGTATAACAGAAGCTTTCTATAGTAGACAGGTATGGCTCTATAATCTTACTTTTGTAATAAATTGTGAAAAACAAAACCCTGAAAGTTGTTTTTTATACACATGGTTGGAGACAGAAAGTGGAAAAGGGCCTAATGAAGTGGCTTCTGCGTTAATAAACTTTTTAGAAATGATCGATGAACAACTTTTAACCCAAGAAAATCCTCCAACTATAGTTAATTTATTTTCTGATTCGTGTTCAGGGCAAAATAAAAATCAGTTTGTAATGATTGCCCTGTTACATTTTATAAATTACAAAGCCAAGATGATCAAGGAAATTAACCATTATTTTCCAATACGTGGCCATAGTTATATGCCACCAGATCAAGTGTTTGGTCGCATTGAAAAACAAATAAGACAACGGGAAACAATAATACTATGGAATATTTAAACAGTATACGACAGTAAAGATTTATGGAAATGATTTTACTGCTCTTGATTATAAATCAGTAACAAAACAAATTGTAAAAAAAATTGACTTCAAAAGCACTCAGCAAAAAAGGTATTCTTACATAAAAGGTAAAACCAGTGTTGGTGTGTCACAAACTTATGAAGGGGAGCCAATTCGTGTTAATATTCTAAAGAGAAATGGAAAACTAGAAAATATTGGTTTAGCCCAAAAACTACAAAAAAAAAAAAAATCATGTAAAAAAGGCTAAACAAGATGATGTATCAAAATTAGTCAAATTCATTAGTATACCACCAGATGCACAATCATTTTATAATGATAGTTTTATTAATAATAATGACTTAGAAGAAACTGCAGATTGTCAAGAATATGATGATGATGAGTGAATAAAAGTTCCTAAAACTAATCTCAATTAAATATTTTATTTTGTATAACTTTTTTTATTTAGTTACTAAAAAGTAAAAAGGCTTTTATATTAATTTATTTGTATCTAGTTTTATCATAACATTTGATGTTATTTTCTTAATAGGTATGTTTTTATTTTGTTTTATTTTATTTTATTTTATTCAAGTATTAGTGAGTTACTAACAAGGGATGTTATTTCATTTTATTTTGTTTGTTATACAATAATATATTATTCTAAAAATGTTAACGTTTGAACACATTTTTAAACTGTCTAAGTTTATGTTTATTATTTTTCACATTATGTGAGTTTAGTACCTACCTACAAATTATATCAATAAATTAATATGATTTATGTCTTCAGTGATTTTTAGCAAAAGAGAAAACTAGGTAGTTGTGGAAATGGTGCATTTTGATAAAAATAGATTTGTTTTTTTCCAAAAAGTGCTTATTCCAGTGTTTTATTCAAAAGGAACTTATTTCTGGAAAAGGTACCTTTTGTTCAAAATCACTTTCTTTAAATTTAAAAATATACTAAAAAAAAATTAATGAGATAACTTTCGATATCAGAAATTGATTTATCATTTTTTTTACCTATTTTTCAATATATCACATTTCATCTAAATCGTTTAAAAATCAGAGAAACAAAAAATGAGCTGTCCTGAAAAATTAGAAAAATGGAAAAGGTACGTTTTGAATTGAAACCCCTCAGTTTGCCTTATACAGTTATGGAACACTTACCCAAATTGGTTCAAAAAGTATGTCCTGATTCAAAAGTAGCTTTGAAGTTAAAATGCGGCAGAACAAAAACTGAAAGCATCGTTACCAATGTCATCGGAGCAGTAGGTAAGATCAGTGTTATTGATTTGACGCAGAAAAACAAGTTTGCCATTATAATAGACGAAAGCACGGATACATCTACAATAAAACACATGGCAGTAATCTCTAGAATAGTAGACAATAATCTGTTGGTGCGGGATGAATTTGTTACTCTCATAGAAGTAGAAAAAGCCACTGCTGACGCTTTATATGATTTAATTATACATTTCTTTATACAAAATAAAATTCTATATAAAGAGAATATGAAAGGTTATGCAGGAGATGGTGCCAACAATATAATGGGCAAACACCATTCATTAGCTACTAATTTATTGAAAGATGTGCCAGATTTATTTATTATGAAATGTATATGCCATTCTTTTCATCTATGCGCTTCATATGCTTGCTTAAAATTACCACGATTTGTTGAAGATTTTGCAAGAAATGTACATAACTATTTAAATAATAGCTCTAAAAGACTCTTAGAATTTAAAGAATTCCAAGTTTTCTGTAATATAAAACCACATAAGATTTTATACCCAGGACAAACGAGATGGCTATCACTATTGTCGGTAGTTAATCGCCTTATTGAACAATATAATGCTTTAAAACTCTATTTTACTAGTGCAGTGTTAAAAGATAAAATTTTAAATGCACAAACAGTATTAGATTCGTTATCAAATCCATTTAATCTTTTGTACCTGCAATTCCTAGCATTTGTTTTGCCATTTTTTGTAGATCTAAATATTGAAATGCAATCAGAAGGAATAAAAATACATCTGTTCTATGACCGTATAGGAACACTGTACAGAGAAATCTTAGAATGCTACATTAAAAAGGATTATATTAGAAATAAGAAATTATATGAAATTCAATACAAGAACCCAAGTTACTATTTGCATGAAAATAATTTGTTTTGTGGTGGTACTGTTTCTGCATCTATTTGCTCTCGTTAAAAGAGAAAAAAGTCACAGCTTTGCAAATATCGGAGTTCAAAAATCGCTGCCTCAGCTTTTATGTAGAAGCAACGCAACAAATTAATGTTCGATTCCCATTTCAAAATATGGAAATGTTAAAACATTTAAAAATCCTAGAACCGAAAATTATTTTTAATTCTGAAATTTGTTCACTTGGTCCACTGGCATCACACCTTCCAATACTTACCAAAAACATCAACTTGGATGATCTCGATCGGGAATGGAGGAAACTATCCAACATGGAAGGCGTTGAAGACTTGACTGCAGATATGGATATTTTAACATTTTGGATAAAAGTGATTAATATTACAAAAGGGGATAATACTAAAATGTTTCCATTGTTAAAAGTCGTAATCAAAAACATAATGACTCTTCCTCATTCGAGTGCATGTGTTGAACGAATATTTTCATGTGTTAATCTTATCAAAACAAAATACCGTAACCGATTAAACACACACAATTTAATAGGATTATTACATACAAAACGTGTGATAAAAGACTCAAACTGTTTTTCATATGATTTTGATAATAAATTTATGGATTTGTTTAACCAACAAATGTATGAATTTAAAAAAATGTAATTTGTTAATAACTGAGATTTATGTTTAGTTTTAGATGATTTATTATTTATGCTTATGAGTTACATAAGTTATGAGTTTTACATTTTAAACTGTGGTTGGGGGGGTGTGGGGGGGCAAATCCCCCCACGATAATCTGCTACCACAAGATTACAGGGAAATAATAGGGAAATATTGATATAAAATCTAGGGCATTTATGAAAAATCAGCTGGTAACCCTATAATACGTAGTTGAACTATAGTATCCACGTTACTTGCCACAAGTGGTTTACGCTTTCATTCCGTAACACATAAAAACACCGCCCGCCTTCCGATATTTGTTCTCGTTTTTTTTAATACTATTTTGTGAATTATTCATCCAAAATGGCAAGCAGTTCTGACGAGGATAATGCTGAATATGGCCTATCACCAATTAAAAAGTGGAAAAGTGAGTATTATATGTATAATATAAAAATTCCGAGTTTATAAAAAGCATGTTTTTTTCAACAAAAAAAATGGTTTTAATCGATTAAAACATGTTTTTTGTTTGAAATGTCTTTCAAGACAGCATTTTTATTAAGACTTATTTTTTAAATATTTTTATTTCAGGCTATAAGTGAGGATTTAAGAATTTGTATTGTAAATATGTACAAGAGTATAATAATGGATGAACCTAACATTTCCATGAGGCAAATTCGTAAACAAATTTCAGAACTATTGTCTATTGGCGATCCACACGATCATGAAACGAGCGTCTAGAGACAGCGCCTCTTATCTGAACAATTATTATCAATATTATCAGTATCACACTATCACGATGGTTGCCTTATCACATAATCAAATTTTCGTACTCTTGGTAATTATAACGGAAAACGATACACAAATAATTAAATAACACAAAACAAAACTGGTTTCAAGTAGTTATATTATAATATTTAATAAAAATGTCTTCATCTTTAAATGAACAATTGGAAACTGTGCAGTTGAAGTTTGGTTCTCTTCAAGGTAAAGATTTAAAAATGCATATGCAAAACAGCCTTGTTTGTAAAGTATTTGTATAAAAATATAGAAAAGTACCCAATGTTAATTAATATTTTATTTTTGTTTAATATTTATTTTGATTAAATTAAATACCTTACAAATAACAAAATAATCAGATAATCTAATTTTCAATGGAGATTTCTATATTCTTGAATTAAACTTTTTCTGCCAATACATTTTCTATGAATACATATACCTACATAAAAATACAAGACAGTACAAAAGTGTATAAAATTTCTATATTTGGTTTAAATTTACTGTAGAGTTTAATGATTGGAAAGAGAAGGAGGAATTGGCCACTTCGACACGCTATGTCCGACATAGGGGGTCTAAGGCTAATATGGACAAAACGGTCACAACAAAGTATCACTGTCATCGGTCTGGAGTTTTTAAATCCAAAGGAAAAGGAGAACGTGCATTAAAGATTACTGGATCTTGTAAAATTGGTAAAAAGTTAATGTTATAAGTTTATACAACAAATAATTTTATAATTTTTATTTTTTAATGATTTAAATCAATGCTGTCCTTCTTCCATAAGAACTGTTGCTGGACTGAACAATATAGACGTCACTTATTGCAAAACTCACCTTGGACACCAAAATGAAATAAGATTTCTTCCCATCCCAACTACTGTTCAAGAAACAATCGCTGGTATACTTATATTTATATTTGAGATGTACTCTTACTAGGTGGAGTTGAATATGGTCTAATATTTCTGTATTAATAATAGTATTTATAGTTGAAGGTCTTCAGAGTAGTTACCAAAATGTACTTAAATAATATACTTAACTAACAGTTATGTGTCAGTATTCAGTACCAATATTCTTGTATAAAATAATACAAGTTTTTCCAAACCAATCCAATGGAAAAACTGTACTTAAATGTTATACTATTATTTATTTATGTATTAAGATATTATCCCAATTAATTCAGTCAAAGTGAGTCTTGTGAGTATTATATTATACAATTACTTAAAAACTTAAGTATGTGAATGGGTTAGGTTAAATATATTATTAATGTTTGTTAGTTTGTTATATTTAATATCATATACATGTTTATATAATATGTATTAGGATATTATCCCAATTAATTCAGTCAAAGTGAATCTTGTGAGTATTATATTATACAATTACTTAAAAAATTAAGTATGTGAATGGGTTTGGTTAAATATATTATTAATGTTTGTTAGTTTGTTATATTTAATGTCATATAAATGTTTTTATAATATGTATTAGGATATTATACCAATTAATTCAGTCAAAGTGAATCTTGTGAGTATTATATTATACAATTACTTAAAAAATTAAGTATGTGAATGGGTTTGGTTAAATATATTATTAATGTTTGTTAGTTTGTTATATTTAATGTCATATAAATGTTTTTATAATATGTATTAGGATATTATACCAATTAATTCAGTCAAAGTGAATCTTGTGAGTATTATATTCAATTACTTAAATATTAAAGTACTAAATTATATATATGTACTTATTATTATACTTATAGGTAAAATTGAAAGTGGAATCCCGCCAAATGTTATAATTGATCAATTACGCAATGAAACTGATTTTAATATCGAAAAAAAAAATATAATAACAAGGAAGGACATTTATAACATTTCTGCTAAATTTGGTTTACTCCACAAATACAAGCTACATGATGTCGATGCAGTAAGTGTGGATCTTCAGGTAAAGCGATTTGCTCAGAATCCTAATAAATCATTAAATCCTATAATTTTATACAAAACACAAGGAACTGAGTATTTCCCATTAGGAAAAGATGATTTCATGCTGATCATCTTAACTGAAACACAAAAGGCTGTTCTTGAGAAGTTCAGTAGTGAAAAACTATGTATAGACTCTACTCATGGCACAAACCAATATAGTTTTAACTTAACTACTATTATTGTGATTGACGAATTCGGTGAAGGATATCCTGCTGCTTTTTGTATTAGTTCAAAGATTGATGAAGTGCACATGACTGTTTTTTTTTCAAAAATCAAAGAAGCTACTGGTTCTCTTACTCCTAACGTATTTATGAGTGATGATGCTCCTGCATTCTGGAATGCATGGATAAAAATTATGTCCCCTATTCCTAAATTCCATCTTTTATGTAAATGGCACATTGACAACAATTGGCGTAAAAATTTAAAAAAAATTGATGGATCACTGACTACTAAAGCGTACGTTTATAAAACCCTCCGTGTCTTATTAGACGAATCTAATATAACAGAGTTCGAAAATTTATTAAGTTCTTTTCTATGCAAATTAGAAGAAGAGCCTGCAATGCACAACTTCAAGGCATACTTTGTAAGTACTTATGTTCCACGGAAAAAGTTGTGGGCTGCATGTTACCGATGTCAGGCTATGCTCAATACGAATATGGTTTTAGAAGCTTTTCATAAGACTTTAAAGCATGTTTATTTAAAAGGAAAAAAAAGTCAACGGCTTGATGCTCTATTGTGGCATTTACTCAAGGTAGTGAGAGATAAAAATTTTGAGCGACTTATTAAATTATGTAATGGTGGGAAAGTTACTCATTTTGTAAATGCAATTAACAGTCGACATCGTTCTGCTCTACAAACTAATTACAAAGTTACTAAAATATCAGATAATACTTGGTCGGTTGCATCTAATTCATTAGAATTAGATTATTTAATTAAACAAAATGAACCATGCTCATGCAAGGTAATTTGTATTATGTGCAAATGTTGCGTTCATTTGTATTCTTGCACTTGTTATGACTACACTATTAAAAATAACATGTGTAAGCATATGCATGCCATTAGAATGAATTCGATGGAATATAATGAAAATGAAAGGATGGATGTAATATGCAATCCCATAGAAAACGATGAAGTGTGTATGAAAATGCCTTCTGCACAACAGCTCACTTTAACATCCACTGAGTCCATTGCTAATAAAATTCAGCAATTATATAGTATGTTTGTGTCACAAGCTGGTACACTTGATGATGAACAACTAAAAAAAATAAATACAACAGTCGATTCAAGTTTAAAAGTTTTATATCAACAAGAAGGCAACTCCATAACAGATGTACCGAATCGAGAACCATCTAACAAAAATGTAGACAAACAGCTAAGGTTTTATTCTACAAAAAAACCAAGGACAAAAGCACCAGAGGAACAAAGACTAAATAAGCCAACAATCCAAGTAATAAACCAAATAAAAAATGATCTTAAAGGCAACGATACCCCATACATTAATATTGACCCACATTTTGAACATTCATATGGACAGTTAGATCAGAAGAAGAAATGAATTTTACCTATTATTATTATATTTTATTTATGTGTACCTACCTATTTATATTTATATTTTGATTTATTTATATTTTTATAACCAACAAGTTTATTTGACACTTGGATTTTAAACACTCATATGCTCATATGGACAATTGAAGAAGAAATGAATTATATTATTATTAATGTGTATTTTTATAAGTTATAACAAACAAGTTTATTTGACACTTAGATTTTGAAAACTAAAACGGACAATTATGAATTAGATCAGAAGAAGAAATGAATTATATTATTACTATTGTATTTTATTAATGTGTATTTATATTTTTATAACAAACAAGTTACTTTCTTAATGTTTTAGTATAGCTTTAAATGTTTGATTTTTATGTAGGTATATGTATTCATAGAAAATGTATTGGCAGAAAAAGTTTAATTCAAGAATATAGAAATCTCTATTGAAAATTCTTTTTAATGGCTCATAAAGGGTTGTATGTATGGACATATAATTAAAAATATACCTTTAGAATCATTAAATTGTTTTTGATGTAGAGATATTAACTTCAACAGTTGTATAAAAATGTTAATTAATAATGATTGTATAGATTTATGTGAATTTCCCTACTCAAATTAAATTTCTTCTTCATCCTAATTTTTTTAAAATGAAATAAATAAAATTTATACAAATACTTTGCAAACAAGACTGGTTTTGCATATGCATTTTTAAATCCTTACCTTGAAGAGAACCAAAATGAAGATGAAGACATTATTGAAGACACAATTCAATCAATTTAATAATAACTGTTTATGGCTTTTAAATTTTACATTATACAACTTTTGCGTTTATACTTTATAGTTATTCAGAAATTAAATTTTAAACGCTTTTAAGTAATTGACAATTGTTTGAAAGCAACAGATTACAGAACTGAGGGGCGAGGGCATCGGTCCGCATCACTATTAGATATTGGCAATACAATTATTATTCTATTAATACCACTAAATAAGATACTATCTTTAATCGTGATTAATACCTACATATTTCATTTTATTTGTGTTTATTTTGAAAATTTGATTATGTGATAAGGCAACCATCGTGATAGTGTGATACTGATAATATTGATAATAATTGTGCAGATAAGAGGCGCTGTCTCTAGACGCTCGTGATCATGAAGGCTTACAATGAGACAAAGACGGTGCCAGTCGCAAAAACAACACGTAAGAAAAAATCATTTCTCGATCTTTTTGACGATTTTTCAAAAAACGCAGTACGTAGGCACGGTATAGCACGTATAGCATCTGGTTTCGCCGTGAAATTCCTACGATTGATAAAATCCACTAAGCCATATCAGCCGACGACAGTTTGCCAACAATATTCGATCTCCAAAAAGTACTTAATACTCCGTATGCACCAAATTTAATGAACTTATACTACAGCCGCAAATATAGTTTTTATAACTGTACACTTTATGAATCTGGATCTCAAAATGCGTTTGCGTATCTATGGGGAGAAATGGATGGTCAGCGTGGTGTTGTAATGAGATAGTGACAAGTATTTTTAAATATTTAAACCAAGTCGACATAAAAAATAAAATAACATCTATTGCTTTATACAGTGATTCTTGTACAGGACAGAATAAAAATCGAGCAATGATTTATATGATATACTATGGTTTTAAAACAAATTTAATTCGTTAAATGAAATAAAAATAAGTTTTTTAATCCCCGGGCATACATACATGCCTGTTGATTCGATACATGCAACAATTGAACGCTTTGTTAAAAATAAAAGTGTTTGGGGTCCAAGTAAGTGGCCCACTATTATACAAAATGCAAGAATAAATCCGAGACCTATTGAAGTGGAAAATGATTTGACAGAAGACTTTTTACATTGGAAAGATTGAGCAGGTAAAGCATATCCGAAGATTCTTAAAGAAACAATAAATGTAACTGTTAAAATTTCAAAAATTAAGTACTTCATTTTTAAAAAGGAAACAGATGGTGACGTTTCTATTCAGTTTTTTTATTGTTATTGTGCAGATGAACAACCAAAAATACTACAGAATCCAATTTCCACGTTTGCCCCTACAAAAGCGTATAAAACAAAATTATCTATATCACAACAAAAATTTAACGATTTAACAAAGCTATGCCATGATAGTAAATACCACCAGGAGTATTTAAACATGAACCGAAATGAACACGTAATCGATTATTTAGAAGATAATATTATCGATGAAGAAAGTGATGAAGAAACTCCGGAACACTAACTACTTTACTTTAAACAGAGTAAATCAAAATTATAATATTATTAATATGCTCGTTGTAATCAACAAACATTTTTTTTTATTAAATTAATTGTAAGACATCTTATTTCATTTTTTAAGCATATAATATGAAATTTACGATTCCGAATGGAACGATTGCGAACGTTTTTACCTGCTTTTAATCGTGCGGTGTTGTCAGATTTGGTGTTAGTCAATAACAAATTTTTAAATAATAATTTTAAAAATAGGTAATCAAATAGTAATAATATAAGGGTTTTCTGCTATTACGCCGGAAAATTTAAAATTTATGACAACACAAAATGAGCTTTTTGGAGATGGTACATTCGATTACGCACCAAAATTTTTTTTACAACTTTATACCATACATTCTTACACAAATGGTTTTGATGTGCCTATTGTATATTTTTTTCTTGCAAATAAAACAAAAGATACGTATTTGAATATGTGGAAATATCTTTTGGAACTATGTCAACAATTTTTTACTTCAACTTTCGATGTTCAAAAACTTCATTTGGATTTTGAATCGGGAGCTGCAAAGCTCATGTAACACACTAGGCGAATAGTTCGCGCGCGGTCGCGGTTTTTATCCGCGGCGAACATTCGTTTGAAATTAAACAACCTATTTTAGATTAGAGCATTCACAAAATGCAAACCTAGTGGATAAAATCCGCCAACGTCCGCGATCGATCGCGCATGTTTAATTTTAGGCGAACATTCGCCTCAGACGGCTAAAAATAATCACGTTGTTTTGACTGGGTCTATGCACACCGGGCGAACGTTCGCGCGCGATTCCTCGGAAATTTTCATTTTAATATCATAGTTGTAGGGAAACGGTCTGTTCCTACGTCATTTGAATATTATTATTATAATATTTAATACACATTTTAAATTTGAATACAAATATGAGTTCCTCTTTTGATTTGGAACATTTTATTATCGAGATATCTCAAGAAGAGTCCATTTGGAATTTAGGTAAGTATAATTTTAACCACTCAATATGACGCGGACACGATGATTGCTTCAAGGTTGATCGTGGTCCGATCGAAGTGTTTGGTTAGGATTGAGGTGATGAAAAAAACACAACACAAACACTTTAAGAATGTCACAAATTATGTATTATAATATTGCGACCAAAATATAATAATACATGACGTGCCGCTCAGGCAGATGAGTTTAACGTCGGACGATATGTTATCGGTCCGATGGTGGATGTCGAATCGCCTTTTCTGCCGACCATTGTACGTCTTACGCGACAGTCCCCCCGTCCCGCCTTGCCGTTACCGGCTCGGTGGGAGAGTCAACCTGGTCGCTCTGCTTGCATCCCGTGGTGGTGGTTGGAGATAAGATAGACTGGTCGCTATAGTGCTTGTACATTGTACTTGCTACTAACGCGGGCCGCGTCAAATACTGATTATGCACATTTATTTGGATTTCCATTACATTTTTATGTGTTTTTGCATAGTTTTTACTGTTTTTAGTATTTAAATTAACTTTTTGTTAAGTAGCTTATAGACCACTTCATAAATTATCTAAATTATTTATCTATACATAATACTTAATTAAAATGACGTGTACAATGGAATCTACATGCTAAATTTAGAATCAAAAGATTATCACGACAAGATTATAAAATATAAAAGTTGGTCCAGGGTTGCAAAGGCTACTTTAAATGATTTTGACAGTCTCAACGAAACTGGGAAGAGAGAAAAAAGTAAGTATAGTCATCCTAAAATCTATTAATTTATTTTAAAATTTATATTACAACTTTCAAGAACTAATGAAATAATATTACTATAAATATTTGTATTAATGTAGATATTGAAAAAATTATAATAATATTTAATCTTATACAAGTAATGATATTAATAATAATAATAAAAAATTAATAATAAATACAATATAATATATTGCATAATAATATAATAATATATCTAATATATGTAACAAATAGGTACAATTTGAATAATGAATGTAAGCACTTATTAGTATATTGTAGATGTCATCCAACTTATTAATGTTAAATATTATATAATATAAGTGAATACAACATATGTTTAACATCCAAATGAATTTTGTTAAATTAACATACTTTATAGTATAACAATAAAAACTGTGGAACCCACCGTACTTCCTCAACAGACGCCAGGAAGTTGCCATCACAAGATGCAGAATCGGACATTCCTTCACAACCCACGCTTTTCTCATCAACAAAAACCCACCTCCCACCTGCGACGAATGCCACGCCGACCTCTCAATACAACATATCATCCAGGATTGCTCAAAGTACAGGGACGCAAGAAACAATCTAGCTATACCACCGAATATGGATGAAGCACTAAACGAAAATAATATTATTAAAATTATCTCTATATAGCGCTGCTTGCATCCCGTGGTGGTGGTTGGAGATAAGATAGACTGGTCGCTACAGTGCTTGTACATTGTACTTGCTACTAACGCGGGCCGCGTCATACTCCCCCCCCCCAAACCACCATACGGGGTGGCATAGCGTACTGCTGTCGGTGGATAAGTGGTTCAGCTCGCGGTACCCCTTGCCATGTAATTTGAAGTAAGCTTGCCTTGCTGACACCCTCCTAGTCCCTCTCTGGTAGGTGGTGTTGGTTGTTGGCCTCGTGCTTTGGTGCCTCGTTGTCGTTGGTATGGCTGCGACGTGACGTTGGTTATCCATGTGGTACTGCTCTGTTTGTTGCATGTGTCCGTCTGCCATCCGGACCGTGTTTGTTGGTCCGTGGAGGGGTTTGCCGTATTTACAGGCTATGGTCGGGTTTACGTACGATTTGGGCCTGTGGATCTAATAGCGCCGTTACGAAGCCTGACGGAAATTCGTGTTCGACCTCGGTGGGTCGGAATTTTGTCCGGGCGTGTTCGTGTGACGTTATTAGACGTATTGCAATCGGTCGAGCGGGGCAACTGGTTCTGAACCGCGACAGAGACTGATTGGTGGTCGGTGTTGACCACGAACATATAATAGTAAGGACTGGCTACTGCTCGACCAGTGTGATTCGCTTATTGTCGCCATTTCAATAATAATCCGCTAGGGTCGCTACTATGCGTTCGCCCTACTGCCGCCAATGTAGAAGCGTAATAATTAGCGTATACAAACAAGTAATGCTTCAAATTTACCAACTTCAAGTTGATCTGCAATTAATTATACCATGTTGTACAATATATTATAGTATACAATATCAGGGTTGGTAATATGCGTGTATAAAACGTTTTATACGTTACACGTATTATACCCCACGTATAAAACGTATAATACGTATAAAACGTATAAAACTAATTAACGCCTAAGACATACTAAATTTCCTTAAATTTAGAATAAAATTAAAAACTAAAATTTAAAGTATTAAATCTTAATAGTTAATATTTAATAATCATTTGATTGGTTGTCTTTTTCTTCTATTTTGAGCGAATAGTATACTGCTAACAACTTTTTTGAATGTTCAGGAGATGATCTGTTTCGCAAATTATTATGTATATAAGACCAATTTGAAAAAACTCTCTCCAACTGGGCTGTCGATGCTGGTATGCTTAATAGTTTGTTTGCAAAATCTGCTAATTCAGGATGTTTTTGTTTAGCAAAAGACCAAAATGAATTTGTTGTTAAAGTATCTTTTTCAAATAAAATGCCAAATAAATTTTTTTTCTTTAAACTCAATAAAGCTATTGAAGCCATTTGTACCAATATCAGTTGAGTTTAAAATGAAATTTTCAACAATGTCTTTCTGCTCAGGTGACATTTTATTGTGTTTTTGGTAAATTGGATGTATATAATTGGCGGTTAATGAATATTCATTTAAAGCATACTTTTGTCGCTTTGCAATATAATTATTAAAACTTTCAAATCCACTAGGTATTTTGCTAGGTAGATTTAACCATAATTCTGCTGCATCATCAATTGATGTTTTGCTTTGTTGACAAATATTAATAAGTTCACATACGGGATCAAACAGGTCAATTAAATTGGATAAATTTTTAATAAAATTACTGTCGAATAATCAAACTTATGTTCACTAGATGCCAAAACGTTTTTTTCATAGCTGGAATGTTGCTCTGAAGGTTTCTGAATGATAATAGCTGTTCGATGCAGCAAAAAAAAAAAAAAAAAACTTTTATACAGTATAAAACGTATAAAACTAAGTAGTTTTATACTGTACGTTTTATACGTCTTATACACACGTATAATACGTGTTTTATACTGTACTGTATTATACGTTCCAACCCTGTAAAATATAATATATTTTCATTTTTCATCGATTAAAAATAAAATAGGAGTTATTATAATAATTAATAATAATGATTGAAATTCGGGAATAGGATTATGCAAACATTTTGATGATTATTGTCTTACTTTTATTTTTTTTATTTTTTTTTTATTTAATAATAATAATTTATTATCGAAACAACGAAATTACATACAGTGTAACAATTTAACATATTTATTTTATAAATCATAATATTGAATACATCAGTAGTCTGATGCAGTTATTTTGTTAAGGCTAAGTAATAATGATTTATAATATTTATTACAAATTTTCATTATAGGTAGGTTCATCAGAAAATATAGTTTAACATATTGCAATTATAATATATTGTACCTAATGCATACTTGTTAAAACTAAATGAAATGAAAAATTAAAAAAACAATTCTTTCTTAAATATAAAAAAAGCCGTCTATATTTTTAGTACCTATATAGCAAAATCAAAATATGTTGTACCTAATAATTAGTTGAATATGTAATTTATTAATATCTAAAATAATTTGTTCAGACCAGGATAAAGTTAACTATTTTACTAATGTAGCCATAATATGATAAAATAAAGGTAGGTATTTCATAAATCAGAAAATAAAAGTAGTAGGTAATAGTCAATTGAAAAAATGTCTACAAAACACAAACTATTGTAATGAAGCATTAATTAATTTTTTTATTTAAATAATTGGTACTATGTACAAATTAAGTTAAGTAATGCCTCACTTAAAGTAAAACATTTAAAATTTAACAATAAAGTATAAACTAAATACTATAATAGTAAAAAGTAAATTTTCACATATTTTTACGTATTGTTGTTATCGGTTGTTGCGATTTTGTTGGGCGAACGCATATGTGGCGCTCATAGCGGAATTTCTCTATTATGGCGACGATAACCGAATCATAATTTTGTATGGACGGGATAGCAGAGAGCAGCCCCGTGGTGTTGACCGCCATGACCAAACTGTCCCTGTCGGTTGTCTCGGTGCTCGCCTGATGCTTTACGTATACAGAATGACCTATAATGCGGGGGTGTGCGAAGTTGGTGTGCTTGCGCCCCCATCACCTTTGCAGGTGAACACCCGTGGCTCTGTTACCTTTGGCCCTACACATGCGGCTGCCCCATAAGCCGTTGATGTTGACCACACTTGTCACCGGTGAGGTGAGTGTGGTGGGTGGTGGGGTGGTGTAGGTTTGGGATTTAAGAGTGGGTGCCGATAGGTGGTGAGGTGATGAAAAAAACACAACACAAACACTTTAAGAATGTCACAAATTATGTATTATAATATTGCGACCAAAATATAATAATACATGACGTGCCGCTCGGGCAGATGAGTTTAACGTCGGACGATATGTTATCGGTCCGACGGTCCGATGGTGGATGTCGAATCGCCTTTTCCGCCGACCGTTGTACGTCTTCCGCGACACAGTCCCCCGTCCCGCCTTGCCGTTACCGGCTCGGTGGGAGAGTCAACCTGGTCGCTCTGCTTGCATCCCGTGGTGGTGGTTGGAGATAAGATAGACTGGTCGCTATAGTGCTTGTACATTGTACTTGCTACTAACGCGGGCCGCGTCAAATACTGATTATGCACATTTATTTGGATTTCCATTACATTTTTATGTGTTTTTGCATAGTTTTTACTGTTTTTAGTATTTAAATTAACTTTTTGTTAAGTAGCTTATAGACCACTTCATAAATTATCTAAATTATTTATCTATACATAATACTTAATTAAAATGACGTGTACAATGGAATCTACATGCTAAATTTAGAATCAAAAGATTATCACGACAAGATTATAAAATATAAAAGTTGGTCCAGGGTTGCAAAGGCTACTTTAAATGATTTTGACAGTCTCAACGAAACTGGGAAGAGAGAAAAAAGTAAGTATAGTCATCCTAAAATCTATTAATTTATTTTAAAATTTATATTACAACTTTCAAGAACTAATGAAATAATATTACTATAAATATTTGTATTAATGTAGATATTGAAAAAATTATAATAATATTTAATCTTATACAAGTAATGATATTAATAATAATAATAAAAAATTAATAATAAATACAATATAATATATTGCATAATAATATAATAATATATCTAATATATGTAACAAATAGGTACAATTTGAATAATGAATGTAAGCACTTATTAGTATATTGTAGATGTCATCCAACTTATTAATGTTAAATATTATATAATATAAGTGAATACAACATATGTTTAACATCCAAATGAATTTTGTTAAATTAACATACTTTATAGTATAACAATAAAAACTGTGGAACCCACCGTACTTCCTCAACAGACGCCAGGAAGTTGCCATCACAAGATGCAGAATCGGACATTCCTTCACAACCCACGCTTTTCTCATCAACAAAAACCCACCTCCCACCTGCGACGAATGCCACGCCGACCTCTCAATACAACATATCATCCAGGATTGCTCAAAGTACAGGGACGCAAGAAACAATCTAGCTATACCACCGAATATGGATGAAGCACTAAACGAAAATAATATTATTAAAATTATCTCTTTTTTTACTCAAATCCACCTCATAAACAAACTTTAACAATGTAAAAACCCTTTCCGTAGTCATTAAGCTATAATATTTTTTGTCTTGTACTCTTAATTCAAGCTAGGCTTTACAGGTCATTACCTGTGATGTTGAAGCCTTATTTTCTAATAAAAAAAAAAATAAAAATAAAAACTTAGACCGTTAACATTTAAAATTATGACGTGATATTACTTTATTACCCACCTACTGAATGCATGAAGAGTAGCGCAATAAATAACTATTAGCAGCCGCCCTGCTGTGGTTTCGTTGCCCGACGACGGTCGGTACAGATTGCGTCCACGGGTTGCGGATAGTGGAACGCCCGGTTCCCCCGGGATTCGTCTCGGGTCGGGTAGCGCGTTAATAACTAACGACGCGCTGCAGACAGCTCCGATCAAATGACCCGTAGTCCCGGACGGTGTGCCCACCGGGTCGGTTCACGGTCGTTGCTGGGGCAACCGACCCCAGCAGCGGTGTTTCCAGCGTGTGCAGGTAACACGGGTGCCGGAGCTTGCTCCGACTTTCAGCCGAGCGTCTCAGTATCAGTCAAGCTCGTGAAGTCCATGACTAAATAGATAGGTATGATCACAACAAACTGAATTTTCTTCAGTCTGCGAAGAGAAGGGTGGGAGTCTTCCGCGTCTCTTGATTGGCTTATACTGTATGGCGCCTTTTTTGTATTTTCGATTGTAATTGCATTGTTCTATACTTTTATGCATATTTGGTTTTCGTCTTTTGTCATTTGATATTAATCATAAGCAATTACCACTGATGAGTTGCGTTATTAATTTGTAAGAATTTTAATTTTGTAATTTTTGTTTGTACATAGTTATTTGTTACAGGTTTAATTGTGGTAAAGTTATCAATATGCCAGTTTGTATAATCGAAAATTGATTTAGTGGCAGTAAACGGAAAGGGTTATTTTGTGACCCAAAGATACATATACATAGATTTCCTAGAGATGTCGGAATGAGAGCTTTGTGGATGGAAAAAATTCGAAATGCTTCAAATGTGATCAAAGAGATTAACTGTGATACTGGTAAATTATTTTTGTATAATTTGAATAAAATGGTTTTTATTAAGACCTGGCGTTAAATGATAAACTATTGAAGGATCGGCGGTATGATTACATATTAATTAATTTAACTGATTTTATTTTAGCTGCCGTATGTTCTTTACATTTTTTTCTAAATTCATACGAAGAAAGAACAAATGTGCAAAATATGTTGGATTATTCTCCAAAATGTGGGAGAAAACTAAAACCTACTGCTATCCCTTTTAGGTTGATTTCAATTTAATTTTGTGATTTTTGTATAAAGTTAAACAATTTTCAAATATGAATTAATGTTATTTTGTTAATTTAGTGATGGAAATCAATCTTCTTCAATAAAAACTCCAGCTGGATTATTTTCTGTGACCAGTTCAGCTGATGAATCTAAAAGGTATATATATTTAATAAGCTATATTTTTATTATGCTATGTATATTGCATTATAACCACAGATAATATTATAATGTGGTATAACTTACATTCAAAAACTAATCATTTAAAATATTGATATATATTTTGTTAGTGTTGAATCTGTGTTCAGGCGAATTATATCATGCCAAGTTGATTTGTTTGGTGTATCGGACACTATACCTGGTGTCAAATGCCTTGAAAATAATGAGCCAGACTTATTTCAAAAGTATATTTTTACGATATTTGTGTTTTGTCTTCTATGATATTTTTAATCTTTAATGCTTTTGTATTTGCATGAGGTATAAACAACAACAAAATAAATGAATATCCGTTATGACAAATACTACTAGAACGGCAGAACACTGAAACTTACTCATTCTCAATAAAAAATACTTGTTCTTGG